ATGATATTTGTGGTGTTACTCTGAGTGTATATCCACACCGGGCGAGCTTGAAAAATATGCCCGGCCACGGTGGGATTCGAACCTACGACCTTTGGAGACTAGCCCAATGCTCTTCCAACTGAGCTACGCGGTCAGGACGGTTCGAGTAAGTGATATTTCGGAACAGAATCTAGTTCCTTCGATACCAATGTATTCTAGTAATATGAATTTTTTCTGTGTTGGTGTAGTGTACTCACAATATCATATTCACCTGAGTACACTACACCAACACAGAATTCCGAAATATCACTTACTCGAACCGTCCTGACCGCGTAGCTCAGTTGGAAGAGCATTGGGCTAGTATCCAAAGGTCGTAGGTTCGAATCCTACCGTGGCCGGGCATATTTTTCAAGCTCGCCCGGTGTGGATATACACTCAGAGTAACATCGCAAACATATTATTCACCTGAGTACACAACACCAACACAGAGAAGAAAAAATTCATATTACTACAACATATTGGTATTGAAGGAACTAGATACTGTTCCGAAATATCACTTACTCGAACCGTCCTGACCGCGTAGCTCAGTTGGAAGAGCATTGGGCTAGTATCCAAAGGTCGTAGGTTCGAATCCTACCGTGGCCGGGCATATTTTTCAAGCTCGCCCGGTGTGGATATACACTCAGAGTAACACCACAAATATCACGCAACGATTTGTTAAACAATTGACATAGAGATGGAGCTATTTGAGATGCAGTTTCTGTTAGTAAACGAGCAGGAATCCCATCTGGGCCATGAGCTTTGTCATTATCAAGAGTTCTTCAGGGCATTTTTTAACTATATAACAGGGGGGCCAAAGCCTCCCAGCCCCCATGGTGCCCCCCCCCCCACTCAACCATTTTGGCCCCCCAGTCAAAGTCCCTTTTCTCTAAAATATAAGCAAAACATGGAATTTAGAAGGGAGGTTTGATATTCTAGTAACTGAAATTTGCTTTGTGAATCTTATGTCCTGTCTTTTATGTTTAATAAATACCTTATTAGATTTTAAACATTTC